TATCTATATTTATATATATAGGTTCTAGAGTTTTTTCTGTGAAAAAATTATTACAAACTTTACAGACATCAATCTTAACAAGTAAAACCATATTGAGTCATAATGAGTGAAGTTTCTTAGAAATGATCCAGGTGGACTTTTAAAAAATCAGAATGGAAGCTGATTGTGTGCAAATTGATTATTTTGGTGTGAAGAATATAAGAAATAGAAGTAATGCATGATTCAGTATTTTAGAAGTGAAGTAGCTAAGGTGAGTGAATTATTTCAGTTAGCACAATTTAGTTTCTTAGGCTGGATCTCTTTCTGGTTACTAACAATTTCCATTTCCATAGATTGCTGTACTGAAATGTATCTTAATAATGTAATTGTGCCAGCATATTATTTACTTTTATCCCTCTATACACTAACTACTTACTGTTAAAGAAGGTTCATTATTATAGATTTCAATATGTTAGCTGTAATACAGAATGAATAGCATGGTATTTTATCACGACGTTGTGGCAAACAACACATCCTTTTCATAGTTTGTCTGTCATTATATGTGGTGCCAAAGACACTGGAAATCTCGAGTCCTTCTACCCACCCCACTCACAGGCACGCAGAAAATGAGGTGCACATCCTGGACTCAAGTAACTAAAAACATGGCATGACGTGTACAGGAGCAATCTCACCCAAGTACTATAGGAACCTGGGGGAAGGGGCTTCCCGCTCTGCTGTAGAAGGAGGTGCAAGAGTGGAAGGAGGAGGCAGTCACCAAGGCTAAATGAGAGTCAGTGACATCTCCTGCCTCTCTCTGCTATTTCAATTTGTTTTTTCTAAACTGTTTACCTGCTTTAAAAGACAACAGGCATTAAAGAAAAGTATGTATATGTGTATCTGCACACACAAGCGCACATGGGCATGCTGGGTTTAAGGGGATGTAGAGAATATCCCTACCACATTCCATTTGGCTTCTATTTCCTCTCTTGTCTCTCCTCTCTGTCTCCCCTCTCTCTTCCTTGTCCTCTCTCCCCTCTCCTCTATCCTCTTTCTCCTCTCTCTTCTGTCCTCTCTCCCATCCTCTGTATCCTCTCTCCCCTTTCTTCCCTCTCT